GATCCCTATTAGTTGCCAAGTGACAGATTTACCTAGTTACAGCTGAATTCACTTTATATTATTCATAATTTAAATTGCTACAGAGAAAAACCTGTGGTGCCATACAATCAGGTGCCCGGTTCTCCTCACTACACAGATGTGCTAGATTCATTTCAAGTGTCACATTTAGACAAAAATCACAAAAGGACAGCTTCATTTGTTCCTCTGAAATTTGTGGAAATAGAAGTTGCAAGTATGACTTAGTTTAAAATGCATTTTAACTGAATTATATACATATAGATTTTTACTTATCTATTTTTTGCAGTGGATTACTTCAGTGATAAGAGAATTTGTTACACTTCAAAGCGACACAGACAGGTTTAATCTTGCTGAGTGCTGAATCATCTTGTCCCAAACCATGAAAGCACTTAACAGTGTTGTGTCAATTTAGAACCACCAAAATGAACAAGACTGCTCATGAATAAAGGGGCCCCCAAAGCGAAGCACAGCACAGTCAGTTTGTTCAATGCCAGCTCACAGCAAGAACAAGAATGCTGGGAAATGGGGATGAGATGTGCAAACTCTTGCAAAATAAGCACTGTAAGGAACTTAGAAGAAAGAAGCATCAAAAACTCTCCCTAGTTATTTAATAACCTCATTTGGTATTTTGTAACCTCACTTGCACAGAGAAAAATAAAACCACTTCCTAATGAACAATGATCCTTGGTTCATTAATAATTAAGGCTGGAATGGGACTACATTTTTTTAACATCTTGTTGTAATGAAGTCACCCATTCACTTGCCCTGTTGACTGTTACACAGAATTAACTAAAACATTGTTTTAATACAATCAATTATTAATATTCTATTTCTAGATATTCTTTACACTTAAGGTTCTAAAATAACATCCTTGGATGCAGTCAGGTGGGACAGGATAAAAGCAGACTGGCTCCCACCTTGGAAAATAACTTGTTTGCTGAAGAGCCAGTGTAGCCACAGAGCCAGATGCAATGCCATGGTGCAAGGGGCTGTAAGGCTTGTCCAGAAAGAAGCTAGACCCAGGAAAAGGCATTCTGGAGCCCAGCAATAAAGAGAACAAGATGAGGAAGCAAAGAGAGCAAAATTCAGCTTTGGTTCTCCAAGTAGGTGTTGCTTCTGGGTCTCTATAAACTTCTATTTAAGCCACAGAGGAACAGAACCTTCCCTTTCTTTCCAGGTAAGAAACACAAACTAAACAGCAAGGCTGAAACTTGCAGGTATAAATCAATCCCCTTTATGTCTCACAGCACTGCCAGGAAACCTAAGTGGGTTTCACCCTCCAAACCTGGAGGCAGAACATGCATCAGTGTTCAAAGAGTGAGGGAAGCAGAGAACACAGCCAGGAGAGGGGAACACAAACAGGATTGGGCTGAGAAATCAGCTGGAAACCAGCTGTAACCAAAAGGGATGAAAGAAGGTGTGGATTGTGAACCAGGCACTGCAATGAGAAAGATGACAACCCCAGAAGAGGAATTGAAACCTGACTGAAATTTAGGAGAAAGCAGAACTATGGGATTTGTTATTAAAACATGAACTTCGGGCATTAGAGCAGCCTTTTTATTCTTAAAATAAACATAAACCATAAAGTTTTCAAAGCTCACTCACAGAAGCTAAAGGCACTGCAAGGCAAAAGAGCTGGAAAGACACCTGCAGGAACCTCAGACTGTGAATATGGAGCAGTTACAGAGACAAGTGAAATGCAAACATAAAAGTAGAATTTTAAGTTGATTTTGAAAGTGCACAGTGCAAATAATAATAAAAAACTCTAACCTCAGTACTGAATAAAAACACTAGCAGCTTCGGCCAGAAAGAATACCATCTAGACTGAGGGGAGAAGAATGAGAATTAGTGTAAAATAAGCAGAAGTAGGAACTAGTTTTGGAAACTGATTCATGCCTTTAACAGGCTGTAAAAGCACAAATGGATAGCAGAAGATTTACTGTTTCTTTGAACATTCATTCTCACTGCCCTTATAATTTTTCAAGGCACTGTCAGACAGAGGTGACTACACATTCATCACTGAAGGAAGAGCTCCTCTTGAAAAATGCAGAACAGTATTCCAGGGGCCATAAGGCTCAGGGACAACATCCTCCTTTGTAAGGCAAAGCTTTGTAAGGAAAAGTCCACCCACTGGAGTGAAAAAATGGTCCTTGCTTTTACAGTTGACACAGTCCAGAGCTGCTCTAAATAAAAAAAAAAACACACCTGAAGAACAAACACATGCAAACAGAATAACCTGAATGTTCTGGAGTTATTAAAACTTGTGAACTCCAACCATGTACAAAAGAAAGTTGACAGCACGCTCTCCAACAATGTAAAACACTTCAAAGGAAAACCCTGCCTCCTCCATTCAGTATTGCAACTACTCCACCCAAAACACCTTTCCATGTGCACAGAGAATTTTTTTGTAAAGTGGTATTTTAATATCTTAATGCTTATTAAAAAAATAAAGTTTAATATTAAACTCCTTTAAAAGTGTATTCATTGGATAGCTTTATCTGCCTATTTATATTCTAAGAGAAGGGAAGAGTTGCTTAAAATGAAACTCAAGTGAAGAATTAGCTTCCTTTTCCCCAAAAGGGGAGGAGTCAAAGGACTGTAGTTTTGACTGACAGGAAATACTGAAAAAGAAACAGGTTTGCATTTACCAAAGCAATGCTGGAGAAGAAACTACTGACACTCAATGTCAAACTGAAAAACACTGATGCTAAAAACAGGGACCTCAGATAAGACTAAAAAGTTCCTTTTCTTTCAACTAAACATTATTTTAAGGCACCAGGCACAGGTGCTCATGTTTTGCAGCACCTCACTCATAACTGCACATATACCTCTAGTTTTTAAAAGAGTGTGCATTTTGTTGTTTTCAGAGTTGCTCTAAACACGTTCCTTAGAAAATAAAACATGTCTAAAAGAAATCAAAAATTACAGCTCATTTTTAAAACTGAGCAGATTTTATGTGATGGCATTTTATTAATGGCATCAAAGAGCAGAAGGAAGGCCACCATACAAAGGCTGAAGATACCAACCAAAAACTTAAAAGCAAGGAGAACAGTAATGCCATAATGTCACATCCATGCGGTGAAGAGGCAGGTGACATACAGAAAACAGAACCTCTATTTATGGGATAAAGTACCCAGACCACAGGTAATGGTGGGGGAAAATATTAAAACCCAGCTCATGGCAGTCTAACGGATATTAAGGGGCCGTGAAGTCACAGCATCCCTCTGCCATCCCCATCCCTGTCCCCTCTCCCGGAGGATTTGCGTCATCGAGATGGGGACAAAGTACGTGCCCAGGCAGCGCTGCCAGGGCAAAACCCCTTTGACTCGTAGTAAGTATTTCAAGCTGCCCCAGTTCTTAGTAAATCAAGTACCTGACAGGGGAGGCCAAACGCGCTGAGAGCACAGAAGGCAGGAACAACATCACTCACACAGGTGATGTCCCACACCTGGGACAGCCCCGAGGGATGCGGGAACTCCCGAGGGATGCGGCGGCTCCGCACGGGGGGAACAGGGGAAGGTGCTCCGGGAGAGAAGAGGGGAAGGGGGTCTCTCAGCCCATCCCGCGCCCCGGGGGCCCCGCACCCACCCGGCAGTCTCGCTCCTTGCCCGACCCCGGCTGCTCCCCCGCATCCTGCGGCTCCTCCCCGGCTGCCGCCTCCGCTCCCTCCGCTTCGCCTCCGCCGCCATCCTCCTCCTCCTCCTCGTCCTCCTCTTCCTCTCCCTCCCAGGTGGAGTCGTAGTCCTCCGGCTTGCCCTCCTCCTCCCAGAACCGCTCCGAGTACGAGAAAGCCATGGAGCGCGGCGGGGAACGGAAAGAGAAAGCGAAAGGGATGGGGAAGGGGCGGCGGGGCCGCCGCCCGCCCGCGCGCACAAAGCACGGCCACGTGGGGGGGGAACGGAAGCGCGAGCAGGCCCCGCCCCCTTCCTGCGCCCGCCCGCCCCGGTCCCGGTGGCACCGGGAGCTTCCCTCCTTCCTCCGCCGGGATCCGGGAGCGCCGGCACCTGGGGATGGGGAGATGGTTATCCTGCTGGGAAATGAGCGAAAGAGCAATATTCCCAAGGAGCCAGGACGCGGTGCATGGGGAGCGAGGCAAAGCGCGGCAGCGCTGGGGTCGGTTAAAGCATTTACATTTGTCAATACCCAACTTGACGTCCAAAAAATTCCTAAAAAATCTGCGTTGCGGGACTGGGCGTGAAATCCCAAGTGGGCTTTCCCTGCTACGAGGTCGGCGCTGAGAGGTCGCACGTTGTCAACACAATTCTACTTTGAGCTATAAAAACATGTAATTGGTAGAGCAAACATTTTGGAATGGCATCACCTGGATGAGTTGGATTTACACCCACAGGGCCGTGAGACTCGAGTTACAGAATCTGCACTTCACGGCCAGAATCTGCATAGATCATGACAAAGTTTCTTAAAGGAATAGCAGAACTTAACAGAGGCATTCATTCACCTTTGGGCGTGAATGAATTCTTCACTCACTGGGTGACAGATCTGTAAGTGACATGTGATTACAACCTCTAGGAACCTGATCGTACTGAACAAGTTGTTTTTCAACATTACAATTGGGAGCTTCCTCACATAAGGTTATAAAAGGTCATTTCCCACCTGCCCAGAAAACCTCAGGCTCCTACAGCACCTCTCCCACAAACCAGAGCTCCAAGGGGCTCTCCAGTTGGTGGCATCTCACCAGACATTCTCCAAGGATTAAAGCACTGAATTCATGATAATTGTACCTTCTGGTAAATCCTCAAGTTTGGAAGCTTGCAGCAACCTATCTATTGTGTTCAGCAGGCCAGGATATTTTATCAAATATCATATAGAAATAACAGGGTTCATACAGACAAAGTTAGTAAAAAAAGCCAAACCTAAACCCCCAGGCAGGCACTTTTGACCAATGCCACTAAAGGCACAAGGTACCTAAATAAGTTCCAAAATACACTGGGCAAGATTTTAATCAAGTCACACAACAATTACCATTTAGTAAAATAAAAACAAGTCAAATTTATTCTTGGTATAAAACAAGAGAAGAAAATAAGGCAGACAAGAACTTGGCTACGTACCTAGAATAAAAGCAAAAAGTAGTAGACTCCTAGTGCCTCACCTTGAAGGCAATACTGACAGATTAAGAAGTAATTCTTCCTTTTATTAACTGGTAGTTAATATAATGAAACAAATTCAGTACCATTTCAACCTGCTTCACTCACCATGTAACAGGTGTTTGTTGAATGTGGTCCATCTTCTCACAGCACAAAAATAGTAATTTTATCAAATCTCAATATCCTAGCATATAAAAGATAAGCATTACAATGTCAGTAAGGTTCTTCAGCTGTAGAACAAAATGAACATTTTGGAAAACCAATTCCATTTACATCTACTAAAACTGCTTTAAAAAAATAAATAATTAAGTACAAACCCCACTGTTTTACATTACTGTATTACAAATGGATGAAGCAACACCTCCAGGTTCATGCACAGCTCAACTGATCCCTTACAAAACAATGTGACATCTCCAGATATTTTATTTAGGACACTTATTAATTACTCTGGCTAGGGGCATTACAATTTTCACTTCACTTATGGCATATAAACTTAGATTGAAAAATATTACATCTCTAAGGGTCAAATGAGGTTCCTCCAGCCAACAGAGCAACAGAACACTTCAACTTTAAATGCAGTAGTTACCTGCATTTAAAAGAATTTTAGTTGTACTGAACCAACAAATTGAGACATTTGATACAAGTGCTATGTTTGCAGCAAGTGAAATGGCCAAAACATTACCCACAGATGGTCTGTGACACTCACAGACGGCAACAAAGGCAGAAAACACAATCCCAGGTTTACAGGAATCGCCTTTGCTTTTGCTGATCCAAGGCCCCGTGTTGCACTGGGCACGGGTTTCATGAGCTGTGCTGACACAGAGCGTGTTGCTGGTTGGGAATGCAGCCACTGGCACTGTTACACCCACTCTCCACATTCCCAGCCTGCTCCCCAGGCCCCCAGAAGGCAGCCAGGGAACACACCAGCCAAGAGCCTTGCGCGTATAAAGCCGATGTGCGGATTCTTCAAACGCCTGGCTCAGGTATCTTTTCCTTCCTCAAAGAGTTTCTGTAGCAACTATCCTGTGACTTGTTTTTGCTGTTCCCCCCTCCCATCCCAGAGTCTGTCACTCCTCTCTCACAGCTCTACGTCCTGCGGCGTTTGGCGGCGCTGGGACTGGAAGGGTTACTGTTTGCATTTAACACCTTCTCAGTGACTCTGTTGCGCTTCCTCTTATCAGATCCTTCTTTGGATCCAGAATCTGATGAAGTTTTCTCTTTCTCTTTGCTGCTTGGCTTTTCAGTTGCTTTTCCTAAAGTTCCAGAGGGTGCAAAAACTGAAATAGGATCAAAGTAATGATTCCAGATCAGAGTCACACACAAAGGCAAACAAGAGTGATATCAAATTTTCTTTATATTACATAAAACTTCTCAAAACAATCAACTCTCAGCATATTTGTCCACCATTAGGTATTACTTTCACTTCTAAAGGAAAAATCTTCTCTGAGAAAGGCACATCTTGCTTTTATTATTTGCTTTAAAGACAGGCATGTATTTTCACAGGCTAAAAATCGAATTCATTAAGTGGAATTAAACAGCACTTAATATTAAAATACTTAATAGGAACACTTACAGAACATAGGACCAATCTATGGAATTTATAATCAGCAATGGTCATTACATTTGGTATCATAGGTAGATATTAAAACTGAACACCCAAAATGTGAAATTTAATATATTTTTAAATACATGTTTAGATCTTTTATTACAATCTTTAAACACCACTTATTCAGTGATATAAATATGATGAAATTATATAGATAGTACTTGGCTTGGTCTGTTAATGTAAATAGCAGGATCTCTACTGTTCACATCTGACTTGTTCTACAGCAAAGTGTTAGGAAAACAAGCCTTTTATTTAAAAGAAGCAAGATAATGAGAATAAAATAAAATAAAATAAACTCTGCCCGCCTTCCCATTTAAGTACACAATTTTACAATCTTTTTTGATTTATACACCCTATTTCCCCCATGACTACAAAGTTCCTTTCACAGAGTATTTAGGTTCAATAAAACTGGACCCAACTTTCTCTCGGAGATCCTCAGATTCCTTCAGACTCCCAGGGGTTTGTGAAGTACATATTAAACCAAAAAAATCTCCAAAGCTATACAACCTGCACAGATGAATTAGGAGCAAAGAAGAAATCTTTTCGATAAGCAACTGCTTACTCTGTGCATTCTTAAATTATTCTAATTCTTGGCATGAGCACATGCTGAGTCTGAGTACAAATCACAAAGTACACTGTATTTGGGATTTACATTTTAACATTAATTTCTCAGCGTTACAGTTGGTTTTTAATCTCGTATTACACAGTAGAGAGTTACAAAATTACCTTCTTCTGGACCTGCATGCGTTTCCAGCTCTTCTTTTAAAATTTCCTCTTTCACTTCTTCTTCCATCATTACTTTTCCTACAGAAAGGATTGTTAGCAATGGTTAGATGGGTTTAAAGAACCACATATTCAGTGCAACATTCAGCAGTAATTTGGAAAAGTTCCTCTGGTAACAAGGATATGAACAGCACAAGAACTAGGATCCTTTCCTTGACAGTTCCTTCAGTCAGTTGATTAAAAATTCATGAGATAAACTTGTATCTGTTTAACGCTCCCTTTTCCCACTGCACCAAACACACCAGTCTGAAAGAATGGTCTTGGATCAACATCTCACACTCTTTCTTGGGGAGAGTTTTGTTAAACATTCTGGGATGAGATCAGAGTAACCAAGAAGCAGAGACTGCTGTCACATCTTACCTTCTCTCACTTCTTGAATCATCTCATCAGGAAGAGCAAAATTCTTCTCTATATTAGGGAATGGAAGAATCTCGGATTCATGCTTAGAAAGAAAAGAATGGTCTCTGTGAGTCGCTTGTAAAAATTTTAATTGGAATTTAGAAATGCAATCTCCAGTTCTGCTTTACATGCAATTAGTAGCTAAATAATTCTTATCAAGACAGTTCAGATGTTAGAGAACCAGGAGGCTCCTCATGTCAAACTGATTACTAAGGTCAAGATACCCAAGGTCATGACTTAGGACCATTTGAGATCATTTCTGGAACCCAAACATGTCAATTTCTTAAGTAAACACACTGTAACTTTTCCATTTGACACATATATCTATGTAAACATTTGCTGGATCAGCGTTTAGGCAAACAAAAAACAAACAAAGGGTCTCCCACCTAATCTATATTTATTCAGGGCAAACCCCATCAACCCAAAGAATGACTTGTAATTCTCAGTATGATGAAAAAGTACAACAGACCCAGTGATTTTGGTCTATCAAAACTTCTGAACTCTACGAAATAACCATGTGGCTGCATCAACCCTTTATACTCACAAGAGCTTGCATATCATACATGGTGCTCAGATGGTCCCAAATCACCTTGGATGAAATCTGCCGTCCGATATTCTGGCTGAATTTATCCCGGATGCAAATCATGTGGAAATGGCGATTCACACCTGGGGGGAAGAACTCAGTGCAGTTTTATTTATGCCAATTAGATAGATTTCAGTACATAAATTAATTTATTTATTTATGACACCATTAAAAAGTGTTGAGTTGTTACAAGAAATCCAGACATTACAGGAGAGACAGGCGGCATCTGGGCAGGCTGATCCTTCACCCTACACTGCAGGTGCTATTCCAGAGGGGGCTGAGGGTGCTCCAGTGTGTAGTACTGACACACAGCCAGAGCTTTTAGAAGGGCTGTGTGAGAAACAACCGGATGAAAGTCTCCCGAGTTCTGTGTCCAGTTCTGGGCTTCTCAGTAGAGGAGAGACACGGAGCTCCTGGAGCACATCCAGCGGAGGGGAATTAAGGGACCGGAGCACTGCTCTCAGGAGAAAAGGCAGAGGGAGCTGGGCCTGTTCAGCCTCCACAAGAAACGACTGAGAGGGGACCTCGTCAATGTGTATAAATATCTAAAGACAGGGTGCCAAGAAGATGGAACCAGGCCCTGCTCGGTGTAACGGGCAGGCACGCACAGGCAGTTCCATCTGAACAGGAGGAAGAACTCCTTTACTGTGAGCACTGGAACAGGTCTCCACGGAGCGGCTGTGGAGTCTCCCTCACTGGAGACATCCCAGAGCATTTCTGGGCGCAATCCTGTGCCCTGTGCTCTGGGACGGCCCCGCCGGAGCCAGCGGCCCGCTGCGGCCCCTTTCTGTGTGACCCGCTCGGCGGTTCAGTGCAGGCGGGAGGCAGCGGGTCCCTGAGGGACCGGGGGGCCGGTCCAGGCCCAGCCCGGGCGGCTCAGCGGGCCGGGAGGGCCCGCCGCTCCCTCCCTCCCTCCCCACCGGCCCCGCCGCAGCCCCGGGACCCCCGGGAGCCTCTCGGAGCCCCCCGCCCGCCGCTCTCCCCTCCCCGGCCCCCGCCGCTCCCGGAGGCCGCGGCCCGCGCTCACCTACGGGCTTGTGGCCCAGCATGGCGTGGAACAGGCAGACCTCCACCTCCGGGCTCCATACCACCGCCGCCTCCTCGGCCGGAGCGCCGGGCTCCGGCCCGGCCGCCGCCGCCGCCGCGGCCGCAACAGCGGCAGCGACCGCCGCGGCCGCCCCGGGCCCGGCCGCGGGCAGCGGCGGCTTCTCCACGGCGGCGGCCGAGCCGCCCTCCGCCTCGCTCATCGCCGCGCCGCGCCCGCAGCGGCTCCTGCCGGCCGGGAGGGGGCAAAGAGCCGGCTGGGACCGCGCCGGGGCGGGGGAGGTTCGGGGGGTTCCCTCGGGCTCGGAGCGGTTTCTCTGCGGGGGGTGCGCTGGGCTCGCAGCGCCGGAGGGCACCGAGAGCCAGCGCTGAGGGACGGGGCCAGAGCGGGACCGTCCGGCACAGCCTCGTGGGCCTCTGGGGGAAGTGCCTTATGGACCCCTAGGAAAAGGCTTCTGGACCTCTGGGAAGTTCCTTACGAACCTCTGGGAAGGACCCTATAGACCTCTGGGAAGGGCCCTATGGACCTCTGGGAAGTTCTTTATGGACCTCTGGGAATAGCCTTAAGGACCCGTGGGAAGAGCCTTATGGACTGCTGTCCTGTCTCAGGGTCTCTAGGGACAGTTCTGGAGGCGGCAGTACGCTGCCATCCCAATGGGCTCCACAGGGATGTTCTGATTTTGGGGTCCCCGGGGCTGGGGTGGCAGCACTGTGGGGTCACAGCAGGGCTGAGGGTCAGCCCTGATGCCCAGGAAGCCTCGGTCAACCCAGTGCTCACCCTCCTGGCCTGGGAAGTCTTGGCCAGTCCAGCATTTGCCCTTTGGGCCCGTCTTTCTCTAGCCCAAGGAGCTGCCACGCTGGAAGGTTGCACTGCAATCCCCCCCAAACAGTCCCTCCTTGTCACAACAGGATTGTTCTATATGAAATATCAGCCTGACATTGATGTTTTACGAATAACCACGCCTGGCTTGGTTGCAAATCGCAGAACCCACCAGCTTTGCCAATCATTTAAGGTGTAAAAAAAGATTTTGTTTGGGAAGAAAGAATACGTATCATTCCCTCAGAGATAAGGGGGTTTTGCCTTGTTAGGTATAATTAGACACACAGACATGAAATGGGACTGCTGTTGCTTAGGTGATCAGGTTTTCCGATTGCTCACTCCTCACTTGAAGATTTAATCCATTTTGTGACATTAAAAATATTTCAATAGCAAATAGCAATGACACCATATGCAAAGAACAACTGTTCTGAGTGAATAATAAAACAGTGGGGACAAACATTCACAAACTGAGACATTAATGCAAATTATCCAAATAATAGAAAGCAGGAAGGGCAAGATGCAATTTTCTGAAACTGAACTTTGTGTACCTTTCGATACCCAAAGGGTTAACTTGTCTTGTATCATTGTTTTGGGCTTGATGTTGTGCTTATACCCCAAGAGGTTAATCTAACATTAAATAAACATTTGAAATGAGTTAAACCCTAAACCTCATGTGTAAAGCCTTGCAAAGTTTGGTAGTGTGAACTCTAGATATAAATCTTCCTTTCCAGCAGGGTTCAGATTGTCCTCTTGGAATGGAAAGAAGTCTGTGACTCTAGTCTGGCTTAGATGCTGTTGAAATTTTCCAGGAATAACTTTGTGTGAGAGCTCCAGAGTGACAGATATCTTGCTGGAACGACTTCTCTGCATCAAGACTACAGGAATCTCCAGAAATATTCTTTCTGCCTGCTGTCACCACTGCTGTACCTATGTCCTGGTTGTGCTGAACTTGCCTTTACATAGCCCAGGCTTCACACTTCTTTCCTCATTTTGAGCCAAAATTACCTATCAGTGGGATTTTGCCAATCTCAAATGCAAGTCTACATGTTTTTACAGTTAAATCCAGCCCTAAATCTCAGACCTGGTTAATCTTTATCCAGTCTATGCTGCTCTCTACTCTTCAGCTGGTACTGAGGGAAAGGGTTATGGTTTCCTGTGATGGCTGCACAGCAGAAGGAAATGAGTTCCTGAACAACTAAATTCCTGTTTTCGTGCATGTTTCTAGGCACAGAAAAATGAAGGAAGAAAGAAAAGCAAATAAATTGCAGAGTATAAAAATTGTTCCTCTGTTGAATAGTTTTCAAAGTTTCGCAGGAATAATTTTTTATTATTTTTAAGTCTGTGTGAGACACTGAGCTTCAGCACTCTCACCTCTCACATTATGTTCCTACTTAAAGACATCAAGAGGGAATAACTGTGTCAACTCAGATAACAATTTTTATATCACTAAGTTCTAATGACAGTACATGAAAAATGTGAAAAAAACCTATGGCTACCTCTGAAAGTAAAACAGCATCTGAAAATAATTCAGTTCAGTAGAATAACGTTAATTCAGCTGGAAGAGTATATGTATAAACTGGCTGCTATTTTGTTTCAGTCACAAATAATTATATTTCCCTCTATCTAAATTCCCTTGTCACTTCACTGCCTCTAGCAAACATATGGGAGTCTATAATAATGCCACATACAGCCTCCACCTGGATTTGGACCAGAGTTTAATTTTTCCCTCATTAAATTTTAGCTTTTTTTTTTTTTTTTACCTTTTTTTTTCACTTGGTGAACAGATTTTTCAGATTCAGAAAAATTTCCAATCCTTTTGTTCAAGTTTAAATCTTACTTTTGGGTTTAAGCACATTCCAGCTAAGACATGCATCATTTTGTTCCTCTCTTTTTCTTCCCACTCTTTCAGCCTTAGAAACCTCACTGCCTGTTGTATCACCTGAGGGTGCTCAACCCTGTCCCCCAACCAGAAAATGATCTGACATTTTGTAAGATATTGCAACAACTGAGAAATCTGCCTGGCATTTGGCATTCTCTCTAGAAGTGTTGGATTTCTGGGATAAGCAATATGGCTACAACTATTTCTGTCATTATTTTAGAACGCCATGTGCTAGTGCCCTTAACAAAGCAACATTTTCAGTCCAAGTCCTGGATAATTTTTGGTATGCCTCATGAATGTTTGTAAAAGAATATCTTCTGGTTCCTTTTTCATTAATTCCAGTCCCTTAACCTTTGCTGGGGGGGGGTTAGTACATCTTTTATATAGAATCTAATGGGATTTTTCTTGCATAGGTAAGAAGTATATGCAGAATATATATCTGGGGCCTCTTCCTGCACCAAATTACTCTCAGGTCTATAAATTCTCCTACGAAATAGGTAATCTCAGTGCCTTGTCATATTTCAGTCTTTCCAAACATAATCTCCTTTGTGACCCATGAGGACCTCCTGAAAAGAGGAATTCTGATCTCATTTGTGAGCTTTAACCATACTTTAAAAATCCCTTTTTTTCAGTGTGAAATCTGTGGGAAGTTTTGCTTTAACAAGGAATTGTCCAACAGTTGGTGCTTGATCATTTTGGATATCTTTTAATAAATCAACGGAGATACTTTGCTATAGAGATGGTTAAACCTGTCAAGGAGGAATAACCAAAAAGATAAAACTGTTCATTGTTAGAGTCTTATCACACAGCCTCTTTCAGTGCTTGGCAAGGTGATACTTCCCAGCTTTTTTCTTACCAAAAAGGTGATTATATTAAACAAGATTATACAATTATATTAAACAAGAACGTTGAATGGAGAATTCCCTCTCAAGATCTGCCTTGCATGGCTTCTTACAGGTGCAAAATGTGGAATTTAAATCAAATTAAGGGTGAAGCAACAAGGCTGAGGGCAGCAGCTGTCAGACAGGAGATCCATCCTGTTTGCTCAGACATATGTTCTCGAACTGAACTTTTCCCTTGTGATCCGTTGTGCCCATTCTCCCAGCGGAGAGAGGCTTCATGTTAGGAAGGCATCAGATGGCAAACCTTTGAAAAATAGATTGAAACATTGCAAATAATTATCTCTAAGCACGCACAGAGGTTTGTTACTGCTGCTGTTACGCTTTAAAATATCCCAGTGCAGAGTGAGGATTAGGGGGAAAAAAAAGCCATCTTAATGAGTTTACAGTTTAATAAATCCATCATATTCCAGGCTTACAGGGAAGCATAAAGAAGAGCCAGTGGATTTAGAATGAACCAGTTCAAGGTGAGCACAAGAATCAGTTCCTGAATCCCTGGCTGTCCCAAGCCAACATCAGAGGACCAGAGCATGGTGTACTGAAGGTGATTTTTATTGATAGTGCCTGAGTGTCTGCCAAACTAAAGTCACACCAGCCCAGCATAAATCTGGAAGGAATTCCCTTCCTTGGCAGTTTTAGTTTTCTGACTGGGATTGTTCAGATCAACCTTTTCTTCTCTGGGGCATTTTTAAAAATTTATATTTCAAGTTAAAAATACTACTTTTTAAGATTAAAAAAAATCCCCAGCATGAACAGAAGGAGAAGCACTAAACCTGCCCAGCTGACATTAAAATGACAGTTACACTCAGGCTCTCGCTGTGGCGGAGGGTGGCAGCAGATTTTCATGAAGCACATGCACTCCTTTAAACACATAAACCTCGACAGAACCAGGCAAGTCAGAGGTTTGGGAGATCCTGCTAGGATTCTTTTTGTTTGGTTTTTTTTTTTTTTTTTGCATTTCAGTTTTGACTACCTGAGGGTATTCACAAGTACCTTTCAGCAGCAGCAGCATCTAGGCTGCAACACGTAGGTGATGTTTAAGGCTGTTTCCTAGGCTGGATCCTAAGCAGAGCAAAGGATGTGTTAGGGACAAACTACAGCCACAGCCAGGCAATGCTGCTGGCACAGACAGCTGTAAAAAGAACAGATTAGTGTGAAATTTGGGTTGCAATGATGATGTCAGCTGCGCTGGTCAGGCCTAAGCCAAGTAACTTGTCAAAGAATGCCTGAATTTGTCTTGTTTGTAGACATGTGTCTCTAGATTCAGTTTGTCTCTGAAACAAGAGTCCACAAAGTGCAACTAACAGGATCATTTTTCCTCAATAGTCATAGAAATCAGTCCTGTCCCTTCTTCTGTTTTGTTTTACAAATACTTCTGTTCTGATTCCAGAATTTCAAGCCTCCATTTATTTACAGAGCTGTGTAATTCTGTCTTTATCCTGATGTGCAAAGAATATAATTACTCAAGGTAGGGAATGCTTGATAAAGCAACCTATCTGGTCATGGAACTTTATCTGTTGAACCAAATTCCTCACTGTCCATCACATTAAAAAGAAATTGGATTCTCAGAGATCATCAATACATTTGCAGTTGTTCTGTTCTTAACGTGGGTCAGTTTGTCTTCACCCAGGCAGATGGTCCTGGATCAGGAGCAACTTTGGTGTTGCCTAAAGTCTCTGAGTTTTGTCCTTCACCATTTTCAATGACTCCACCACTATCTTTAATAACACTAAACCAGACTGACTGGAAAAAAAAAAAAGTTGTTTTATGCTTAAGTTTTAATCAAAGGA